ACAATAATCCACCCAACAAATCAAAAACAAATAATACAGATTTTATGGTTCATTTACTGCCAAAATAATGTCTTAAGGTCATTCCTTAACTTATAAGAGCGCATTGCAGTAATCTTATCTGGAGGTGACTAGGACATAAGTGACTATAGGCAATGCTTACCCATCCAGAAACAGGCATAACTGGTGCACAAGCCATAGCTGTGGAAAGGCCCTGCTAGCCATGATTGGCATCTGCTCAGGGAGCAAGAATCATGAGTCTAGGAGGATTTCCAGATTAGGGAAATCCTAGGGACTAGGATTTCTGGGGCAATGCAATCCCATCCAGCACCAAAGATAGCATAGTCTCAGAATCAATAGGCCCCAAATTTTAAAGCCACTCAGTCTTATCAGAGTTCAACTGAAGCCATTGTTCCTCATACAGACCTTCACAGCAACCAGACACTGGGATATTTAGAAGATCCCTTAATTTTCCATGGGTAGAGATATATAATTAGGTACCATTAGCATTTACTTGATCATACTTCACCCCACAGTAATGGATGAACTTACCCAGAAATCTTGTGTATTGTAGATGTTTAAAAGGAGAAGAAAGAGCATGAAACTCTGTGGCACCCCACAGGAGGGACCTCTTTTCCCCAATCATCATAATATTATCAAAATCATGGAGAACATGTATCTATGAGGGCTCTAAGACTTGATGGCATATAATCAATCACTTTCAAGGCGGCCTGCCTTCTGGTCCCAACCTCCTTCATTTCAGGTAGGGACAGAATCCTTAGAAGTCTTCCCTGAAGTTCACACTGGACATGCAGAGATCCTTGCAAGGCATTATCCCTGGTATTATCTCATTGGCACTACCTTTTCAGCAGATGGGTGGCATCTGAACCTTGAAGTCAACTGGTAGCCAGTGCAGCAATTCAAGATGGGTATAATTCTGCAGTGACAACTTTCTCCCAGCTTCCAGTCTGGCTATCCCATTTTGGCTCAGTTGCCATTTCAAATCATCTTCAAAGAAAGACCCTCATCCAAAGCATGGCAATAATCCAATCCCAATTCAGCAACTAAGATATACAGATAAGCAGGACAACTTTATACTCTGGAGGAAGCTAAGATGTTCCAAAGCAGGTATATTGGGTGGCTGGAAACCAGTGCTGTGTTCTGATTGCCTACCAAGTCAGGAAAGAAAGCAATGTTAACCTGGAAGAACAGGTTAATGAGAAAACATCTCAGAGAAATAAAGTAAGTGTCAAGCAACACAATGTTCTCAGTTTTCCTTCTGGTAAATAAGTGCTTTGTAACTGCCCACGCCCCTCAAGCAGCCATTTTGCAAATATGCTACCCCTCTTCAGCAGCTAACATATCAGTATCAGTGTCATGGATTCAAAATCAGATGAACTCTCTGAGCCTAACAGGTCACCTACCTCAGTCTAAGTGGGAATGAGAAGCTGATACTACATGGCCAGGGAGTCGTCTTACTGAAAATGCATTAAGGAGCTTCCAGCCAATTTGAGGTTTCCTATTTCCTCTGAAGATTGTGGAGAAGAGGAAGGCAATGCTTGTGGCCTTTCATTTTGGCCACTGAACTTAAGTAAATTGATTGTGCTTTTCTGTTGGCAGAAGAATGGCTGGAATAATGTTTCCTGAATCTTTTCACGTGGTAAAAATGAAAGGGGCAGAGCTTGCCTCAATTAAAGCTGCAATGTACAAACAACACCACTATCTACAAACTATATTGATAGGCTTGTCCATAGAATTTGGAAAAATTTGAAAGTGCCACTCGTACTGACAGATCTATAGACACTCACCTGAGATTGTAAGGCTGGCTGCATCAGGATTCAACTGTTAGCTCAACACATTTTGATTTCTTCAAATAGATTCTATCAAAAGACATGTTTCTACTTAGAAAAATAAATAGATCCTGATGAAAAACACCCAGAAAAAAGCACTTTATAATTATGGTTTCAGTTTCTCAGGTTTCAGCCTTTCAGGAAATTCTCTGTTTAGGCAAAATAATAATTCTCCAAAAATCCAAGCATCAGAGATCTGGATTTTCTGAAAGAAATGTTTGTCACCTGACTTTTTCATAATAGGATAGCTTTCCTTATTGCCAAATATACATATTATATAATTTCTGTTTGAGAGGCTTCCACCATTATGGACCCCCAGCACAACTCAATACACAACTTGTGTTGATCTTACATCTTGCATGAATCGTGATATCCTGTTTTAAGAAATTGGTAGTTAATGAAATATAGGGAAAAAGAATATTTGAAAATGTTGACCGGCTGATGAAGTCATTAATGAATTTGGCTTTGGTTCTGTAATGGGTAAAATGGGAAAAGTAGTTCTTTTTTCAAAACTCATAGATGGACACAAAACTCTTTCAGTTTTTAGCTGGAGGTGAGATAAGGCCATCATCATGTGATCAAGGCAAAACAGTGGGATCACTATAGCATTTGGTGCTGAAAAAAACCTGCAAATGACCAAAGGGCCAAAGGCAAAAGGGCCCTATCTAAATACTCCCTCCTCCTCCCCCCACTACTAATCCCATCTCAGGCCTGAGAATTGGCTAGTATGTGAAAAAAAATAGACAACTCTTTGCCCCCTCCCTCCTTTCCTCCCTCCCTCCCTCCCCCCCTCTCTCTCTGGAAACATGCACACACACCCAGCGATAATAATGGTCCATTAATTGAGGGACCACAGAATACACAGGGTCATTCATTCATTTCATCCATTCATTCCTGCCATCCAACCTATGCAACTTCATCGATAAACAAGCACCATCTATATACTTACACATTAAAAGAACTCTAGGCTTCTCATTCTAGAGGTTATTTTGAAAGAGCATGTCACAAACAGAGGTCAGAGGTCGTGACCTTTATATCCTTCAATTTGCTTCATTTAGGTGGGGAGATCCCACCTACATGGGATGGAAACAATTGGGGAACAGTATACTAACTAAAGGAAACTACAAAAGCTTAAGAAATTTAACTCCAAGTATCTTGGGGCCATATATTTCAAGAAATGAAATACAAGAAACATTTAAAATGAATTGGCAACAGATTTCTAGCACATAGAAAAATCAGAGATGTACCCTCTATTAAATAAAACGAACACAGTCTCAGCTAAGAAAGATCATGTTAATGCCAGAAATGCAATTTGTAAAATAAAAGTTGAAGAATAATTTTATATAAAATTCATTTGGCCTTCCCGATCAACAGACTGAGCCACAAGAATGCATATTTCTCTGAACGTGTCCATACGTCCTGAGTATACGTCTTAACCAACTAAAAATATTAGGCTATGAAAACACAGGTACAAAGACAAATCCATGTTAACGCTGAAATGAATTACAGTAATCCACCTCTTGGAAAGAACTATATGCAGTGATTATATATTGCTTGTTCTTGTCATTCTTCTATTAAAGTTGAGCCAGGTAAAATGTTCTTTAACATCCACTTAGAAAGACTTAACATCTGGGATGTCAGCCAATGGATATGCTAGGAAACCAATGCCAAAAGAGTCTAACTAAAAGGTTAATTTCATAGAGATCACAGAGAAAGCTAGTGCTTGCCTCAGGAGTGTGTCTTTTTTGAAAATGAAAGGCAATTTTTGTTTAAATGCAGGTGCTATTTCAAAATCATTAGGTTTCCAAATGAGATCTGATGCAAACATAAAAGGGGAAGGGGGAGAATCCTGATATCATGATTTGACAGGCTGCGCTACCTTATTAACAACTATGTTAATAACTTTTTTAACAACAGCTCCTGACACTTTAGAATCCATTCTAAAGCATTGGGCGAGGGGGAGGGAATTCTTCCTCTACACTCAAGAAGAAAATCAAATTGTGGCAATATTTGAAGAGTTTTTCAAAATGGCCACAGAAATGGCCAGGGATAGAGACTACATTGAGATTTATGGCTATAATCCAAGGAAACCTGTCCTGTTAATCATTTTAAGCCTGTCACCTTTCTTTTTTTAAACTGTGAAATGCATTTTTGGAACAGATCTTTATAATGCTGCATGCTCAAGCACTTCATATTCATTGCTTCCCAAAAGAACAGGCCCAGCCTCACAAATTAAATGAAAATTTAAATTATTTTTTTTAAAGCAACTAAAATCATGAAAGAATTGGGAATACCAAAATCCTACACATTTTGAGCGCAGTGACATGAATCTTCCAGGTTGCTAAAATCTGGCTTTCCCAAGACTGCAGATGACTGGAGAGGAGAATACCCAGGCCATATGTGAGTTTCCTCAACAGAATCTCAGCCCTTCAAAAATTGCCCATTTCATCCTAGATTATTTAAGACATCCAACTTTAGAGGCTAAGATTCCTTTTATCCAGATTCAAAGCTGTGCGGAATTTTGATATATGGAATATTGTGAGGATGAGTAATTTCCCAGATTCTATTTAAAACATGTATGAAGCCACTGCATTCCAAATAACTTTTAATAAAATGGTGTCATCAGATGAATTACAATAGTGGCCGACTGGTTAGGACTTAGGGGAGATCAACCAAGAGTTTCTAAAGACTCTGAAAGGCTCAAGAGCAAATTATTAAATAGAATTCTCACTGTATCCCACATTAATGTAAACTTAATTCCATTGTATCTTTGTTTGTTGAATCAATGGCCCAGTAAATAGAAGCATGTAGACAAGTTATTGAAATAATGGCTGGGATTGTATTTTAACAAATTAGTTTTAGACCTTTGAATTAAAACTATCAATCCATCTGATCATTTTGTATGATAATCTATGCACTTCATCCATGAGGTCCCTGTGTACTGCTTTCCTCCACATATCTTGAAAGTATCAATTTGAGATAAACAATTTGTGTAACTGACATTGGTTTTACAGTTACTGGTATAGCACTCAAGAGCTTCTGTTGCTATCTATGACCACAATCCCCCTCTAAAATACCTAACTAATGGTGGGTTATTAAGATTATAGACTGTAGGCTTTCTTGTAATAGTAATATTTATTTCTTTTCTTCCTCAGGAACACAATTAGACAAGCACTAATCTGGGGAGGAGCAAGAACTTATATACAGAGAAGGCGGGGCTAATGGTAAGTACTAACCAATGGTAAGTGACACAATGACATCACACAATGACATATAAACAAGCACACATATTTACAGATATCAGGTTAGGTATTTTCATCTGTAACAAATCCCCCTCTAAAATACCTAACTAATGGTGGGTTATTAAGATTATATATGCACATCAAGTTTGGAAGTCAAATACATATGTTGTTTGGTTGGCAATGGCTTAGTGAGGATATCAGCAATTTGTTCACTAGTATTGCAATGGATAGCTTTAATAAATCCTATACTTGACAGTTGTCTTACATTTTATATTTATATTATATGTCGAGATCGTTGACCTATTGCTTCGGAAGCTGATATATCAATTGCTGCCTTATTGTCCTCATTGATAATAATTGGATAAACAGGTTCATCCCACACATTGGTTAACAAGTCATCGAACCAAGTTAGATTGTTGACCGCTTTGGATAAACAAACATATTCGGCTTCCGCTGTGGAAGTGGCAATTAAATTCTGTTTGCCTGTGTACCAGTGCACCGCACAGCCATTTATAAGAAAAACATATCCAGAAGTACTTTTTCTGGTTTTTTTGAATCAGTAGCCCAATCAGCATCAGCGTAGCAGGTCAAAGTTGGTTTTTCAGAAATGAATGGTTCTAAGAATAAGCACATATCAATGCTAGACTTTAGATATTTTAGAATCCTCTTAATTCCTTCCCAGTGGTATGTGTTAGGATTGCTTACATGTCTTGACAACAAATTTACAGCAAGGGTGATATCAGGCCTGGTCCAATTAGATATGTATAATAAGGACCCAATAATTGATCGATATAACGTGTTATCCTTGAATGGTTCGTACTCATTATACACATTCCTATAAAAATCAGTTGACATAGGAGTATCACAAATTTTTGAATTAATTAAGTTACATTTTTGTATGAGTTCCATAATCTTGTCTTTCTGAGATAATTTGAACCCCTTATCTGTTTTGTCAATTTGGACTCCTAGATACTTATTTACCTTTCCTAATATTTTTAAGTTGAAATTTTTGCCTAGTTGTTCAGCGAAATTATCACATTTAATTTTGTCGTGTCCAAAATACAATATATCATCAACATAAATCAAAACATATTCAATAGAATCATTATTTTTTTTTGTGAAAAAACAAAAATCAGATGAAGTAGCTACAAAACCCATATTTTTAAGTATCTTTGATAAGCACTCATACCACCGCTTACCGGACTGTTTTAGTCCATAAAGGCTCTTGTTTAATAGCCAAATTTCTCCCTTTTTTGTATCCTTTCCTGGGGGTGCTTTCACATAAATTTCTTTATCTAGATCAGCGTGCAGATAGGCTGTCTGCACGTCAAATTGATATACTTCCAGATTTAAGATAGAAGCTAACACTAGTGCTGTTTTCACGCTTTCTGATCTAACGGTTGGGGAGTAAGTGTCTTCATAGTCATCCGGAAATCTTTGGGCAAAGCCTTGAGCCACCAACCTGGCTTTGTATAGGAATTTACCATCCTCTAGTTCCTTGATTTTATAGATCCACCTAGTGCCAATAGGGGATTTCTCAGTGGGCAGGTCTGTTGGTGTATATACATTTAGTTCTCTCAAACTGTCCATCTCTTTTTTCATTGCTTCCTCCCACTTACTTTTTTCTTCTAGGGGTAGCTTAAGTATGTCATCATATGTGTTAGGAGTCAGGTGTTTAGCTTGGATAGACAGTACGTAATCATCTAATCTTTTAGGAATTATGCCCCTATTGGATCTAATGGGCCTATTCTGGGGATGTTCATCGCTATGCATATACTTAGCTTCTTTTTCGGTTAATTGATCTACTTTCAAAGTGGGGTGTCCTTTTTTCCATTCATCATTAACTATTACTGGGCATTTGATTCTGTTAGTAGATGTGGATTTGGGGTTCGTATCTGATGTGTGATGTTTTGCGTGCGTGTGTGTAATATTTTTTGATTCTGGGTAAATTTCATTGAGATGTAATTTTGACCAGTTCATGTGTTCATGAAACACGGCAGATCTGGATACAATGAAGTGATTATTTTTATCAATGAAGCGATATCCCTTGGTTCCTGATTCGTACCCCATAAATATCAGTCTTTTGGATACTTTCTCTCCTTTGCGCCTTAACTGTGAGGGCACATATACATCAGCAGATACACCAAATACGTGTAAATGCCCAATTTTTTGTTTCCTTCCATACATGAGTTCGTATGGGGTCTTATTGATTGTACTGGACCATAAGCGATTTATAGTGTAATTGGAATAATTAAGGGCTTCAGCCCAGAATGACTGGTTTAAACCAGCATCATCTAACACACATTTAACCATGGTTTGTAGCAAACCATTCTTCCTTTCAGAGACTCCATTTTGGAATGGGGAAAATGGACAAGATTTAAAGTGCAATATTCCTTGTGATTTTAGCCAAGTTGAAAATTCGTTGGATAGGAATTCCGACCCCCTGTCAGTCATTATTTGTTTGATTTTGGTATTGTATTGTGTTTCTACCATTTTAAAGAACTCCTTAAATTTTTTGAAAACCTCACTTTTGTGGTTAAGGGTGTATACAAAACCAAATCTACTATAGTCATCGACTATGGTCAGGAAGTATCTTTTTTTGTATTTAATTGAAGGTTTTAATGGGCCTACTACATCCATATGAATTAGTTGAAAGGTTGATTGTGTGGTGCGAGTGGCTTTTTTGGGTTTTGGCTTGTTTTTAATTTTGGAAGAATTGCATACAGAGCATTCTAAGTAATTTTTACAGTTCTTTATTTTTAAATCTTCGGAACACTCTAACATTTTTCGTATGACTGGAAAGCTCGCGTGTCCTAGCTTTCTGTGGAGTAAGTGACTACAATTATCGTGAATAGGTTTTCCATTGTTTAAATTTTCAGACATATTAGTATCAGTGTTTGATGCATTCTTATCATTATTTTCATCATGGCTATCTGAATTTGGTTTTTTGTTTCTTAATTGATAGTTTGCATAGACTAGTTCGTTATCTTGTGGCAGTAGGTATGTTAGTCCATCATTTGTAAATAGTTTACCTATGTTTCTGTTGTTCTTAGTCATGAATACCTTTCCACCTCTGAAAGTGGTTTCTATTGCATTGTCTATGCTTAACTTTAGGGTTGCCAATATGTTATTTGGAATTTCGGGCACAAATAGTACCCCCTCTATTTTTCCTATACCTTTTATATGCGTGTCTCCTATTCCTCTCACTAGGACTCTATTTTGGTTTGCTACTTTAATATAATATTTCTTTTCAGTGAAGTTACTTAATATTTCTCTATTATGAGTTGTATGGCATGTGGCTCCTGAATCTATGAGCCAGGTGTTGAGTGAATCAGATATCAAAGTGTTATTATTTCTTATTCCATATAGTGATCCTTTCTTATTTTTTCTAGGGTTATTTCTGTATGTTTGTCTTTCTCTAGAGTGTGGTGATTCTCTTCTCTTATACCTGTAATCTGGGGAGGTTCTGTCTAAAAAGTGTATTCTTCTATCCTTGTGTTTATATGAGTCACTGTATCCTATATTCTTGGGACAGTCTCTACTCTGATGTCTTTCAGATCCACATGTGAGACATTCATGTGGGTATCTGTCTCTGGCCCTGAAATCAGTCCTTCTTTGATTTCTACCTTCTCTTTGTTGTGTATATCGCTCTCTTCTAAGTCTATCTTCAGTAATAAGCTTATTGGTAAGGTTTTCTAAAGTAATTTGCTCTATACTTAGGTTATCTATTAGTGTAATGTAGTTATCCCAGCTGTGATCTAGTGAGTTAATTATAATGCTTTTCATGGTGTTGTCAGAAATGGTTTCTCCCCTTTGAATAAGGTCTGCTCTTACAGCGTTTAAATTCAAGATATGCTCACTCATGGATGTATCATGTTTTAGTTTGGCAGAATAGAATTCCCTAGAGATTTTTGTGGTAGTGGTTACATTTTTGCTATAGAACAGTCTGAATAATTTTTGATATACTTCAAATACAGTTAAATTATGCTCTATACTGGGGAGTATACTTGGGGAAATAGAAACAATTAACATATAGTATGCTTTGTGGTGGAGGCAGTCTATTTCATAGGTCCAAGGCTTATTTGGTGGGTTATCAATAAAAAATAAAAACATTTTCTTTCATATATACAATCTGTAAACACTGATCCCATTCCATTAAGTTGCTTCCATCTAATTTCAATTTTATAAAGTCTGGAGGTATTGTCCCTGAGTGTAGTGAGGTGTTATTCATGTTTAGTAGCTGTCCATGATTTAAGACCTTAGCATACTCACAATAAGGCCTGGGTATGGTAGATGTATGTCTGTATTTACTTATCTCTATGTTGCGCTGACTTGTATTTATGTTTCCTTCTTCTTTCTTTGCAGGCTCGTTCTGGGCATGCTCAGTCCTCATTTTTCTCCAGCAGTCGATGAGGGAGGTTCCTGTGTCTGCAGCTCCTGGGGTGAAGTCCCAGACGGCCTTCTGTTGCTCTGCTTTGTTTCTGGAGGGCCTCTGGTGACTGAAGAATGCCTGGGGTGCTGCTCTGCTCATCGGGAGTCTTCTCTGAGGTCGTCAGTAAGTGGAGCTTGAGGCGGGCCGCCATTGCCAATGGAGCCGGGTTGTTCAGGGAGCTGCTCTTCAGTAGGTAAGTATGATTGCCAGCTTGTCTTTCTTCGGGTGGCTAGGCCTTTCTTTAGACAGTCTATTTCTTTTTGGCCTTTGGTAGATGGTAGTTTAGAATTTTCTATTTCATTTTCTGGTTGTTTGTTTGGTATTGTTAGTTTAGTCCCGAGTGCTGCAGTTAGCACCTGTATAGCATTGTCTATTTCTACTTCAGTAGGTTGAGCTTTGTTTTGTTTAAATAATTGTTTTTTATTTGTTTTTGGACTCGGGTAATCATCTTCTTGGTAGGTTTTGTTTTTTATTTCGTAGTTTGAGGTTTGGAATTCTTTTAGTAATTGGTCAGGCATTTTAGAGGTATTAGGTGGGTAAGATGGCTGCCATGAAAAAGGCGGGAAGCTGTCGCCATCTTTGGTGTCATTTTTGAAGTCAGGGGTTGAATTTCTTACCTTGCAGTTTTCTTGTTTGTTATTTTCGTTATCTGCTGCTGTTCCGTGGTCGTTTATTATGCTGCGGATTTTCACAAGCAGATTTGATTCAGCTGTAGTTGTTTCTATTAATTCTAGTATTTTTCTTTTTACCTCATCTTCTTTGTTTGGTGTTAGCAGTTCATTTTCTTGTAATTGCGTTTGTTTCTTAATATTTTCAAGTGGTGTATATTTGTCAGGAGTTAGTTGAGCTGCCATTCTTTTCGTTATGTATCTGGTGGCAGGTCTTCTTTTGTCGTTATGTGAGTCTTGCATCTTTATGTTCGGTTGGGCCTACCAAACCATCCTCTTGCTACCAATTTGTTGCTAGTTTGGTTATCCTGGTTAGGCCCATATATAAGAGACTGTAGGCTTTCTTGTAATAGTAATATTTATTTCTTTTCTTCCTCAGGAACACAATTAGACAAGCACTAATCTGGGAGGAGCAAGAACTTATATACAGAGAAGGCGGGGCTAATGGTAAGTACTAACCAATGGTAAGTGACACAATGACATCACACAATGACATATAAACAAGCAACATATTTACAGATATCAGGTTAGGTATTTTCATCTGTAACAGAAAGGGTGTAAACTGGTTAAACAGATGAGGATGAAAGACGGGGTGAAATCCAGACCCTGTTAGAAATATACTGGAAGGAACTATGGCCCTCCAAGTGCTTCAATGGGCTGATAATTGAAAATACTGATGCTGCTTCTCCAACAATTGGGAGAATTGAGGTGCACTGATTAAAATGTTATACTAAAACCACAGAGACCCAGATTGAAGTTGACTTCAGCTGAGAGAGCAAGTGGTCCAAAGTCACCCAGTGTTGTGGCCCGCCAGCAGCCTGTGCAGATTGTGGCTGATCCCGACGACGAGGAGGCTGATGTAGTGTCACACCAGCAGCCTGTGCAGCCGGCGCTCGAGTTGCACAGCAAGGAGGCTGAAGAGGATGTGGTGCCAGAGGTAGAGACTCAGCCAGGGCCTTCAGAACCTCCAGAGGCTCCTTCAAGTGAAGAAAGTGAAGTGGAGGAGACTCTTCTCAATGCTCGAGCACGCAGGGCTGCCAAAAGGCAGGAGTGGCTACTCAGGAGGAGGTCTCCTCAAGAGTAAGGTTTGGGGTTAATTGGCCACTCCCTTAGCCTATTTAAGTTCGCACACAGATAGCAAACGTTGCTGGAAACAATGTTTGGTCCTACGCAGAGCATTTTGAGAGTGAGTTTTTTGTTACAACTTGGTTTCTGGGCTGATTGCCAACCCTTGTCGGACTTTGTTTAATCTCCTTAATTCATAGCAGGCTGATAAGGACATTTGTGGTTAAAGCCTGCATTTTGAAAGGGGTCTGTTTGTATTAAACGGAGTTTTTGGAGCTGTGTGTGTGTGCTACACTTCTTGGGACCCATAGCTGGGGCAGAACACCCAGCCGCCTTTCATGCCTTCATTCTCACTATCTTCTGCTTTCTAGCCTGGTGCCTTAACCACTAGACCAAACTGGCTCAGCAATAACCTATACATTTTTAATATGTAACATTTGGTGTATATGTGTGTACAACATTTATACAAACACAAATACATATATGGTTTATATAAATCTTAACCACACTTCAGAAACTGTTTGCGGTGAAGTGGGAAGCATTTAATCTCTTTCGTTGTCTAATGCATTACATTAGGATATCCAAGCAGGCTGTTGATTTACAAGCTGCCTGGAGTCTTTCTGCAGCAACCCAAGGCTGCTTGGATTTCTGTTAGCCAAACCCCAATATCAGGTCATTGGAGGAGAGAGGGGAGGGATGAATAATCTTTATTTCTTCAACCACACAAAGAGAGAAAGAGAGAAAGAGAGAGAGGGAGGGAGGGAGGGAGAGGGTGTGTGTGTGTGTGTGTGTGTGTGTGTGTGTGTGTGTGTGTGTGTCTCCTTGGCTTAGTCTCTGTTTCCTTTCAGCAGTGGAAGAGTTAAAGAAAACACTGAAGGAACAAGTGAGGATCCAGGATAGGATTTAGTGGCATTTATTTTTAATCTATGGTCTTTTGCTCCCTTGCTTATCAGCCCTACGTCAGTCCTTTTTCCTCCTTTATATTTCATGAAGAGCCCCCCATGCTGCTCAGAGAGAAAGAGCCCAAGTGTCTGTAAGCTTTTGTCAGGTGGGGGGAAAAAAGGAAGAAGAGGAAAGGGGGAAAAGGCAAGGAATAAGAGGGAGGCAAAGCTAAGAGGCATCTATTAGATGTCACTAGCCTTTTGTATTCATGTCAATGATTCTGGATTAGAGTATGTGAAATAATCGCATTGAAAGGAATCAAAAGCCCCACCGAGCAGGAGGTGGCTGGGAGGCATACGGCAGGGCAGGAGGCACGATCTGATTAAGGCCTTGTTAGCTAACACTACATTTACGTATATAACATTACATACGATTTATATCAGAAAATATATTTATATATATAATGTTAGCTACACATTGTATTAATTATATTACATTTATATTATATTTATCATATTTATTATATTATTTATAAATAATACACACAGCATACACTGTTATCCCTCCCAGCATTAGGTCACTTACCGTATATAGTCAGAGACTGCTGCCATGTTGGAAAGCTTTCATATGGCTCTAATGGATTAAAATTTGTCAGACCATCTCTTTCAGTCAATGCAACCTCTTCTTAAGAGTTTCTTCCCTCCTTCTCTTTCAAGGCCCCCCACACACACACACACACCAGTGATGGGTTGCCCCTGGTTCGCACTGGTTCTATAGAACCAGTAGTAAAATTGGCAGGAGGCTCCGCCCACCAACCCTGACATCATCAAAACGCTTCTGCGCATGTGCAGAAGAGCGTGAATGTGCAGCCCTGCTGCGAACCGGTAGTAAAGGTAAGTAGAACCCACCCCTCACACACATACACACACACACACACACACACACACACACACACCAGCTACTTCACTTTAGCTCCAAAAATTTACAGGTAGCTCTTGTTTAGCGACCAATTGTCCAGTGACTGTTCGAAGTTACACTGGTGCTGAATGAAGAAGCTGATGACCGCTTCTCAAAGTTGCAGCCGCTGCTGTGCCCTGCAGTCACAGGATCGCCATTTGCGACCTTCACTGCCAGCTTCCAATAAGCAAAGTCAATGGGGAAGGCAGCAGAAGGTTGCAAGCCACAGTCATGTGACATCAGGCTTAATGGCCATGTGCAATTCATTATCAGAACTGCCATCGTAAGTCAAGACTGTGACATGATTTTTTGCTTCATGACCACATCGCTTAGCAACAGAATTGCTGGTCCCAGTTAAAATCATAAATTGAGGACTACCTGTATTTAGAAGTAATGCTGCTTCCAGAATTATCAACCTCCAACAATAATGTTATTCCTCCTCTAAACTTTGCCACACACATACATGGCACGACATTCAATAGGGCCATCAAAAGTAGATTGGAAAAAAATAAGTTCTTGTTAGATGAGGAGTTTTGCCAGATTAAGGCAATTAAAATTCTGTAATAATGAACCCTCTATATCTAAAACCTTCATTTGCCCCGGAACAAAGGTGGGAAACCAGAGAAATAGCCTGCGCTAGATTTATCTCCATTTGCCTACACCTTTCCAAGAGCTGAGACAAAAACAGTACTGTTCACAACATTTCAGTGGGTGCTGTGAAAGTCTCTATCTGGGTCATTTTAATAATGTCCGGGATATAATTTCAAGGTATTGAAATAGCACATTTTAATCACTTTATTTCATACGAAAAACAGATTAATAGTACTGAATATGTCATTTTCATTTGGAACATAAAATTTTAATATACTAAATTAAGATATGCCATAAGTGTTTTTAAAGAGAAACATTTCTTTAATTGTTTTTTAATCTCAAATCTTCTAAACATTGTAAAGTCCCCCCAAACTCTATTAAATACCTTTATGTTGCATTTCTAATACTGTGTTGCATTAAAAATCTGCCACCTTCTACACAGGAACTGGGGATTGGGAGGGGGTAGTAACATCCTCCCAGGGAACAGATAGGCATCTAATATATATTCAAACACTGACCAATAAATTCCATCCTGTCCAGTAGGAAAAAGCCATTTCTATCATTTTACACAACATTACAAAAGTAGACAAAGTCATAAGAATCATAAGAATCATATCACATACTGTACATTTTTACTTCAGTTGCATTTTTACATGAAAACCGAACCATCCTGAAACGTGATTTAATCCACAGTATTACCATTCAGAAGGGATGTGGTGGCTCAGTGGCTAAGACGCTGAGTTTGTCGATCGAAAGGTTGGCAGTTCAGTGGTTCGAATCCCTAGTGCCGTGTAATGGGGTGAGCTCCCGTTACTTGTTCCAGTTTCTGCCAACCTAGCAGTTCGAAAGCACGTAAAAAATGCAAGTAGAAAAATAGGGACCACCTTTGGTGGGAAGGTAACAGCGTTCCATGCTCCTTTGACGTTTAGTCATGCCAGCCACATGACCACGGAGATGTCTTTGGACAGTGCTGGCTCTTCAGCTTTGAAACGGAGATGAGCACCGCCCCCTAGAGTCGGGAACGACTAGCACATATGTGCGAGGGGAATCTTTACCTTTATTACCATTCAGAGATAAAAAGAATTCTGGTTTTTCTCCTTTCTGCTCTTTCTTCCTAATGCTTCAGCAAATAAAAACGGGGGAGGGGGTTATAAAATATCTTTCTACCCCTCCTTAAATCTGTTTTTACTCATTCATGAAATGGAATAAAAGATCCTTAGGTCTGTTAATCTAGGAAACCCTATGAGTTGCCTTTGTCCTTTCTGTCCCTTTGCTTACTTTAAAGAAGCAGCTAGCATTAAGAAATCAACCTCTACAAATAGGGCATCTGGGGTTTTAGGAAGAGACACAACAGAAAATCCCAGCCCTTTAAAATGCCAATCCTTGCATTGTGAGGAAAGCCCTGTTTTATGGATGGCTTGAGAGGTTCAGATCCTATCAATCAAATTATTTTGGGTGTCTCTCTGGGGAAAAAAGGCACTGGAAAGCATGGAACACAGAATATATTTCAAAAAAACCCTTTGCTTTGAAATAAAGGACATGATTACTACACACAGTCACCTTTAATTCACATTCCTGGAATGGCCTAACTAGGTGGCTCAGTGGTTAAGATGCTGAGCTTGTCAGTCAGACAAGTTTGGCAGTTCGGATCCCTAGTACAGGTCTCCTGTGTGAGCAGGGTTGGACTAGATGACCTCCAAGGTCCCTTGCAACTCTGTTACTGTTACTGAGTAAGGCAAGTAGTTGTCTTACTCTGCCCTTCTGGGGATGTGAATTAAAGTCTAGCGTGGCCCTTTTATCCATATATTGTACTTCATTCTGGGAAGGAAAGAGGGTGAAAATCCAGTGTTCCATCCAAACAGGAATTTGGATGAAATGGCACCAAATCTCCCTGCCTCTCTTCCTCCTAGTAGTTTTCATACAACTTGATGAAGAACGGACTTCCTAAATTCTTTCAGAAATGAAATTAAGATCTGAGAATTTTGCATAAGAG